TATTTAAACATTGTAAGCCATTTGAGGCAACTTAGTTTTGAATGAAATAAAATTTTTTTTGAATTTCTCTTAATAGAATTTCTCTTTGTGAGATTTTTGTCTTTCTTATAATCTTCCGCTGCATCAGTATGTTATTGACATAATTGCATTCTCAACTATCGAGGGCGGTAATAATCAAAAACGAGTAATGAAACACAGATTTATAGATTGATCCACTCAATGTGAGCTATGCATCCACTCACTAGAGACTTAGATAGAGAATACAAGATTTTCTCATGCTCTCTAGCATAGAAACAGATTAATTCACAGGTTCATTTTAGAATCTCACTGACACGGACACCATTTAATAAATGCAAGAAAAATTGAATCCAACTAGCATGTGGAGTGTGTTAAAGAAGTAAGTAAATAAAACCACTTATACCCACTCTGTAAGAGTTCAAACTTTTATGTATATACATATCGATTAGTACATACAATAAAAGCATTGTTGACTAATTTAAACACTTCTTTCAGTTGTTCAAAATGGAACATACCATCCTAGTTGAGCCATGACATAAGGGAAACCGAGAACTCCAGCTCCAACTATTGCTGTAACGTTGTGGAAAGCTGAGTACCACCATTTTGCATCCCTAGAAGAAGTTATTGGCAACCATTCATCTATTGCTTTCTCTCGTGCATCTCGTTCATCAACCTACAATTCAAGGTATTGTATTATTCATCAAAATTCAGTACCATTAGAAAATATGGGTTGTGGGTTGCCCAGGTGGGGTGACCTAACACACAAGATATTAAAAGGGTTGGAGGGAATGGTTTGAACTTGAAATTCAAACATACAACTCCCTATAACCTCCATTAAATTCCATGTAAACCTCTAATAATTATTCAGGAAAAAAAGAGGAAAAAGATGGCAAGAAAAAATGGTGAAATTCTTATGTGAAAATACACCAAAATTGAAAATGCCCTAAAATCACTATTTTGACAAGAAAACTTACAAAATAAGACACTTAAATTGTGGATAATAATCTCTTTCAATTGGGATTGGGATTGAGATTGAGATTGTGACCATTGGAGAACAAAAAAATGCTGAATTTGGAGATTTAAGATACAACGTGATTCAACCACACAAAAATCTTGGAATTCATTCTTTCGAGTAAAGGGTTCATGACATGTAATTTATGATTATGAATGTTGTGAATTCCTACATCGGTATTAGAGTTATTAGGTTGAATTCCTTGCTGTGATGGCATCTTTTGATATATGTGTCTAGTATTTACAAAATTTTGGAATTATGTATATAATATGCAAATTGAAACCCTAGTTAATTCTACATAAATTTTAAAAATTTACTACTTTATATACGTTGATAATTATGTAGTAATATTAATATGGTTGTAAAACTATTTCAATGACCTTTTCAACCATATAAAGAACTTTCTATTTTGGACTTAAAACGAAAGAGTTATGCGATTTTGAAGTTTGGATGAATATCTGAATTTTTGTATCAAAATTGTTAAAACACAAAATTTCATCACATGATAACTTCTTTTACACTACGTTTAATGCTTCTCATCTGGTATGGTTGAATATATCTTCTCAAGAACTTTCTAACGCTATGAAGATCATTAATTTTGGCTTTGAAATGAAAAAGTTATGGCCTCCCGAAATTTGGATGAAAATCTAAATTTTTGCATGAAAATTAATAAAACCCGAAACTTCATCACTTGATAAGTTCTTCTACACTGTGTTTCATGGATCCTATTTTATATAGTTAGATAGACATTCTCAAGAGACTTTCAAACATATAAATATCATTATTTTTGGCCTTAAAATGAAGCGGTCATGGCCTCCCAAAATTTGGTCAAAAATTTGGAAAGTTCGCATGAATTTTATGTCATTTTCACTCTCAAACACATTTGTTATATCCCAAATGTTGCCTTAAACATTGATTTTGTAAAATCATACAATACAGATGAACTCAGAACGTCGAAGTTAGTCGTATTAACCAATCAAAAAAAAAAAAATTCGAGAACTGTGTGGCGACGCGACGCACACCCCTTTTTTGTAATTGGAATTATTTTTTGAAATAATTAATTGATTTGTGATATCATGATATATATCATAATTGGACAAATGTGTATATTTATTTTTTATTACACATTATAGTGTTGTTTTACTGAATTACATGATATCTATTAATTCGCAAATTATTATAAATGCTAAGGTTGGTTGAATTAATGAAATTATTACTTAGACTTATTTGATTGTTAGTTGAGTGACAATTCAATAATTGGAAGATTTAGTGAAAATCTTACCAATGAAAATTAAATTCAATCCTCAAAGTTAGGTAAATTAGGACGGTCGCATCGACGTGTTAGCAATTTCAAGAACCCGTTAAATTTGGTCCCTCCTTACTATTTAAACTCGTTACAACTGTAATATGATAAACAATGAGAATTACTTTTAAAGAATTTTTTTACTTAGAAGTAAAGGGAAAATAATATTATCAATAATTTACTTCCTTTAAATTTCTTGTAAGTACTTGGGACATCTTTGATCAACTAGAGTAACGCTAATTGGTCTGAAAAAGTAGTGCTAGAATTCAAAAATAGACTTTCTTGTTGCCGTGTGTGAACCTCGTATTTGAAGTTAGGTGTTGACCTTCATAGACTTGAGCTGTATTTCTACTTAACATTTTTTGACTCTCTTTGTTTCAAAATTCGTTATTTTTTATATTCATTTTTAATCACATTCACACAATACAATATTTTGTTGAGAAATTATTTAATTTGCCATGATAGGTCGACATATGTAATTAATTGTGTATAAATGCTATCTTGAAGTGAAACCCAAAATTAAAGTAATCTAATAAGGAATTAAGTAATTGGGCTTTAAGTATCTAAATAAAGTGTGGGCAGGGCTATATGTGTAGAGAACGGATCCATTAAGGTTTGTATTTGACGATGTGCTGAATTCATATG